TGGCTTACGTTTACGGCATCTTCGTTGATTTCAAATGCCTCGTTGACGTATGGGGAGCACTTGATGAAGTCTCTATCGCACATGGGAGGAGTCAGAATGTCGAAGAGGAAAGCTCTGGAAATTTTCCGGAATGGACGCGGCAAGCAATTCAGCATCTACCGCGAAAGGATTTTTGATGAAGCCGCGAAGAAGTGGCTCCTGGTCTACAGGGTCACGAAAGATTGCGGAAATGTCGCATACAAAGACTTCTTCGAGAAGGTCGCTGTTCCTGAGGTGAAGGAAAGGAACGAGATCTTTGGATTCTCCCGTGCATCAGCCGAGAAAACTGGGGATATCATCGAGTTCTGGCTTGGTGTCTTGGATGTGGCAAATATGGCCAAAGGAGTTGTGGATGTTTTCAATGCCAGTGTTGATCCTGCTGAGTACCTCAACGGATTGGAAAAGGCATTGGCTCAATTCACATCGACCTCAAGAACTACGAGCACCATCAATGACAAGAGACGGGGATCATTTGACTGCACCCTGCAGACCGCAGAAGCCGAAAGGGTCATGAAGATCATCCACGCAATCCCCGGATATGAATCGCTGGCCAACTTCTGCTGCCTCACAGAGTGGGAGAAGGATCAGGTATTCTCTCAGTATCGAAGAAAGCACAACATCACAGGGGATGACGCCAGCATGGGCGCTGATGCCGATGCCAAGCCAGGTGACGAGTCGTCGGCTCACCCTGGGGAGGAGGAAGCTGATGAGCCAGCAAATGATCCCACTGATGTAGTCAGGGACTCAGAGATTTCCGGAAAACAACAACTTTTGGATGCGTTGGGAAAACTCTTTACCGTCTCTGAGGATGTCAATGTGTGCTTGTATTGTGGTAGCACCAAACATGGTCATCTTGAATGTGAACATGAGAAGAAGGATGAAGTCAGAAAGGTGCTAAAGGCCGTCCGAGCGTCGCTCGAGGCTGATAGTCCCACATCTGATGACGTCGATATGGAGCCTCCTGAGCACAAGAAGGACGGATCAGGTGCTACTGAAGGGTCGGGGCAAACGGATGAACCTACAAAACCGAGGTTTAGTGAACACCAGTGGTACGACAGCATCAGGACTATGTCCGAAGTCGGAGACCTCGATGAGTATGGTAGGTTCTGCATTGAAGGACGTGATGTTACAAAGCTGGGACCACAGAACGTTGTTGACCTCAACGAAGTGATCCGGGACGCTATTGTCAGGGGAGGAGGTGACACCTGGTCAGTGCCAGAATTCCTTGCAAGCTACTCTGACAACAACATCAGGAAGCCCTTCTACAAACGAGTCGAGGCGCCGCAAGATGGTTTCTTGAAAAGCATCCCTACGACGGGGGCCCATTTCTTCAACTGCTTTTACTTTGGCGGTGTGGAATATGCGGCCAACTACCGCTTCGAAACTGGCAACCGGCTCGACGCCTATGAGGACAAGGTGAGTACCTCACTGAATAGGATCCTACGGCACAATGTGGGGAAGGTATCAGAATCACAGAGTCTGTTCTGTGATGACGCCGGCTGGGTGCCCATCGAGGAAGTGCTCAAATGTGAGTCCATCTGGAGACATGAGCATGCACGCTGGCCACATGTGTTCCTAGCCCCCAAAGGAAGAGCAAATGATCAAAGTGCATGGAATGTCAATGAAGCGAACTACCGCATGACATTGCTCTTCAAGATCATGTTCCATTGTGCCCGATACGGACGTCGTGTGCGTGAACAAGTCTTGGCGTTCGGGATCAACAAGGACATCGATCGCAGCAGCTTGACGTGCATTGACAACAAGGTCGAAGCGGACACGCACATCCCTGACGAAGGGCTACTGCTCTATCCAGTGGCAGTCCGCGCCCCGACGGGGCACAAGGAAGGATCTTCCAGGGATGACGTCTCATTGCTGTCATCGTTGCTTTCACATCCAATCGCACCCAACGCCATCATGTCATTACCGGTCTGCTTCCACATCACCAAGAAGACCAACCTCCGAAGCATTTGGAGGCAGGGATTAATTCCGGGAGGTCTTGGAGAAGGTCATCGGATGTTCACGTTCTTCAACCCGTATGTGCCATGGGACCACAGATCATGGACCATCACGAAGAGCGTTGATACGCGAAAGGGGGACTATATCTGCTTGTTCATCCCTACCGAGACCTTGATGGTGGAGTATGGCGGTCGATTGACTGACTCGGGACAGATCGTTTCACCTAAGATCATCCCGTTCTCAGCGATCAAAGGAGGGTGGATTCAGGATCCCAAGGATCAGTACAACAAGACATGGCTCCGGTTGTTCGTCCCGTCGGGCGACGACCAGGTAGTCCGGTCTGGCACTATCAAATCAAGAACTGTAGCCACCAAGGAATCCATCCTGAGGGTCGCAAGTCAATGCATCGACGCCGAAGACCAACCATATGACGAAATCGCCATGGATGCCATGAACATCGTCAACCAGTTCAAGAACAACCTCATTGAGCCTGGCGGACAAGATCAATACCTGGCCCGCATCAAGCTGATTGACTACATAGTCGAACGCAAAAGGGTGCAAACTTCAGGTTGCCGTCATTGTCCTCATTGTCTCAACGAGACGCCGATGAAGCTGGCAGTGTGTCTAGTTTGCTGGACAGAACTTGAAAGTTGTGGAATTCGTCCATATCGGCTACAAGCTCCTGAAGACGATGAAGATGAGGCCACGAAGAAGGAGCTCGATGAAGAGGTTCGTCGACAAGAAGAATCGTTGTTCAAGGATACGGTCCATCAAGCACAAGAAAACGTATCCGAATCCAACGACTACGGTTTCAATCCTGACGGGGTCGACTACAATGAAGGCGATGATGAGGAAATGGATCAGGAGGAGGAAACTCAACAGGAAGACGACGAAATCGTTGAAGAAGAAGACGACGATGAAATGGACGTCGAACCTGAAAATGAACCTTCTTCCAAACTACCAGCATGGACTAAGAATCTTGAGAGCGGAAGCAAGGGTATGCCAGAAGACGGACTTATCAACAATGATGTATCCGAGGCCGCGGCTCACTTGTACGACAATGCCGTCATGTCAAAGATCATCGCAATGTTCAGGCTCTACTATAAACAGAGAGTCACTCTGACCCCAGAGGAATACTATGCGCTGATGACGGAAACCAAGCGAGTCCGGCTGGACCTGGACGACTTCTGCCCTTACACAGGCGAAGATCAGGATGGCAACCTCAAGCGACCGACGGAGCTGGAGTTGGACGAACTCTTTCAGGAGAAAGGGAAGAAGAACTCATGGTCAGAGGGAGAGAAGATGTACTCTGGACGACCAAGAAACATGATGATGCCTGTCATCAAGACTTTAGAGGTTTATGAAAAGATGATGGAATTTCTGATATGCGCCGGGTACACTCCCGAGTCACTAGGTTTCCTCATGCCAATGAACCGAATGCAGGCTGATGCACAAGGGAAACAGGAGATGAGAGTGACCATCAGCAACTTTCTCCGACGGCTGCTGAAAGGAACTTTTCCAGAACATGAATCATACACCTTCTTTCGTTCCGGGAGCCACGGCTTCCCCAACTGCATCGAACTCCCAGCTTTCTCGGTATATCTGAGTCTGACAGAAAAGGAACAGAGGGTGGAACTACTCTTTGCTGCCCAACAATGCGGCATTCCTTTACCTCAAAACTTTGTCAGCAAGATGGCTTATGCTATTCAACTGGCTGAGGCCGAGGCGCAGAGGGGAAAGACCGAGATGAAAATGAAGATGGCTCCAACCCTTGGCGACGAAGTGGTGAGTGAGGTATTCAAAGCAGTCGGAGGTAGTGCCGCTTCCAAGTTTGCCACCGCAGACACGAAAGCCAAATCACCAGCACAACCTTCACAGAAACCTGAAGGCACTGGTTCAGCATCATCCTCATCGGCTAGCGTACCAAAGGCTAAGGCTATGCCGAGATCCCATGAACCATCAAAAGCACCACCTGCGAAGCCCTCATCGCCGAAAGCTGCTCCGAAACGTGCGGCAGGATGGGAGAAATCTCCAACAACGCCTCAATGGAAGAAAGTCCGCCGTGAGCAGTAAACCAATTACCTCTGTCCGTCAAAATGATCACTGGACTATAAGATATGTATCGTCTTCGTGAACAGATGATCAGGAAAAGACCAACTGAGTGGACTCTGAGCGAGGCAGTAGACTAATTCGCTTAGGTCCGAAACTTTCGATATTCCCAATCTGCACGAAATTCTGCACAGTGCACGTGAATTCGTTAGTTAGCATTGTAAATCTTTGGTAGCGAAGCGATCCATTTCTCCCGTCGGGTGAGTGGCATGCCTAGCCAACGTAGAAAAGTAGATGTTAGCTAGCAATAATTCGCGTTGTACAGCTTGATGAAGCGCCGATGCATCGACAGCCATAGAGTAGGCGAACCCGGAACCATTATTCCCGTCGGGTATGTGGGAAAGGGGGAGCCGAATGGCACGTTTTATGTAAATAGGCGTAATTCGAGTAGCAGAACAATTCTAATTTAAAGTTCCCTCTCTCGTGTCCGTGGTCCGAAGGTGCCACGGGCATGGGGGGTGTCAAAGGGAACTAAACGCTAGGACATACATCATGTGCAAGTATAACTGCACATCGAAACGCCGTACTGGCTCAAGTCCCTGCGCGAGGAAAAAGTCCGAGCTCTGCTTGCCATGCTGTATCGCTGTCCGGAACTACCAGCATAACAGGTATCGCAATTCAGTAACCACATCCAGAACAAGGATTCATTTGTTCACAATATGTATATATATATGTATATATATATATATATATGCATATATATATGTACATATATATATGTATAACTATATGTACATATATATATAACTATATATATATATATAACTATATATATATATAACATATATCCAGCATAATCCATATCTCATCTTGACATTGTTTGTTATATAAAGTGATAAACCCATTATATATTGTTTTCACCTTGCCCGTCGTCCCGGTCACATCGTCGTGCTGAGTTGCATGCTGCGGCTGCCCCAAGAAGAAGGGCAAAATCATGGGCTACAAAGACAGATGCGACCCAAACCAGGCGAGTGATAGCTACTATGAATAGTAGTTGCTGTAATAGTAGTTAACTATTATTAACTATTAGTGATATGTTAGGGTAGTGATATGTTAGGGTGCATAGTAGTGGCCAAAAGGGCACTTTACCAATAAACAAATCGTTTGGAATAATGGTTGATATAAGTTATAATTTTTATGTCAGCCGTGGATTAATAACCCCCCTAGGCCCCAAATGGTTGTTTAATTGGGAGGTACCATCATATACTATCATATACTATCACTATTTGGAGTGTACCCCCATAATTAATAGACAATGGTTTATAAATCCGCAGTATAAATTAACAAGTGAATTTCATGGGATTGAACTTCCAAAAAGTGTGAGTTCATGGGATTTCACTACCAAACGTGGGGATTTCATGGGATTTAACCAAAAGATAGGATTTTCCATGGGGATTTAACTACTAGTATAACAAAAATGGTAAATTCGTGGGATTTCATGTGTTTTCAAGGTGGAACTCCGACTTCACTAGGCTTTATGGCTATGAACATACAATGTGGGGCCCCCAAGATAGCTAAGTTGGTGCAAATAACTCCAATAACTATGGTTTATGGATGTTTATGGTACTCATAACTATAGTTACTGGGGCTTATAAACCAACTTATAACTGAGGGGCCAGGGGCCCCACATTGTACCTATAGTTGATGGCTTATCAATCCAACTGGAAGATGGGTGGGATAAACTCCCAGTCATGGTAGGTTTATGGTTGCGGCGCCACCGAAGATGGGGATTTTTAGCGAGAATGGGGATGCAGCCCATTTTACCAACATTGAGACTTTATCGAACATGTGTTTTAACATGTTTAACCTTTCATTTAAACCCAACTGAAAGAGGAACTTCAAGTTCAGCAATCAGATTTGTTTTGGTGCGCCAACAAGATTGGGGATTCCACTCGTTTACATGTCACAGTTGGCCCTTACTGGATGGACTTTGGGTTGAGACCCATACAGGTTTGTCCGAAAATTGGGGTCCTCCCAAATTTAGTGGTTTACGAAACGTTCAGAACAAGTTTCCCTCGAATAATGTCATGTTTTTTTTCTGGAAAAAACATGAAAAAACAGTTTCATGGTTAATATGGTCCCCAGTTTCGGTGGCAATAATCCGTTTCTTCTGATCATCCTCCCATTTTGATGCAAATCCACGTGGTGGCTACCTGTGCCATCTAGAAGACACTTACGTAAATTGCCTGGTTCTTTGGGGGACGGTCAATCCATTGGTATGATTTGGTCTACCCTCTGCTAAACATACAAAAAAATACGGAAAATCACCATGCTATGTAGCTGGGTAAATCCACTATTTCAATGGGCCATGTTCAATAGCTATGTAACAGTCATTACCAGAGGGTATACCATCATATATCCTAATAAATCCCATTAAATCCCACTAAATCACCATTTTTAATAGGTAAGTCCACTATTTCAATGGCTATTTTTCTATGCTGACCAAGTATGGGGAATCCCATGATATGATGGCCATAGGAAAATCCCATGGAAAATAGGGTATGAAATTCCATGAAGTCAAGCCATGTACCCATATCTAGTTTTCATATTGATGATTATATACACATGATATTCCCATAGATATCCACTATATATATCCCGTTTTTGTTGGTTAAACCTCAATAAATCACAATTTTCGTTGGTGAAATCTCATTTTCATCATCCCCTTTAAGAAAATCCCATGGAAAACAGGGTATGAAATTCCATGAAGTCAAGCCATGTGCCCATATCTAGTTTTCATATTGATGATTATATACACATGATATTCCCATAGATATCCACTATATATATCCCGTTTTTGTTGGTTAAACCTCAGTAAATCACAATTTTCGTTGGTGAAATCCCCATTTTCATCACCATGAAATCCCATGAAATCCCAGTAAACCCATGATTTTTCCTTGGTGAAATCCCATGAACTCACCACTTTTCATGGGCTTTTTATCCCATGGCCCTATGGCCTTTACCCTCGATGGCGGAGTTCCAGGGAGATCCTGTGCGTCAGACTGAGAAGTGCGGCGCCGACTGTGACCGGTTTGCATCAGTCCACTGAGTCGACTGCGATTGGTTTTTCATTGTTCTTATACATATCCCATAGGATCCATGTATGCCATATATGGTAACATTTACCATCAATATACCCCAAATGTTAGCATATATACCATACATGGATCCTATGGGTATGGCTATTTTATGATATTTTAGGGTATTTGATATACTGATTATTATGATTTACTGATATATTATAATATTCCCATTCTTATACATATGCTGGTTGGTGGTTTGGGACATGTTTTATTTTCCATATATTGGGAATGTCATCTTCGTCATATTTTTCAGAGGGGTAGGTATACCACCAACCAGTATGGCTACTTTATGGTGTATTTTGGTGTATTATTATTATATACTGATATATTATATATAATATTTCCATTATGTATATATATAATAGCCATGAGAATATGATGGGTATTTCATTGCTATTTCACCATAGTATTCTCATTATATATATATATACAGGGTATTATTGTAATATTCCCAATATATATATATATGTATATGTAATAGCCATGAGAATGTGAAATGGGTATTTCAGGGGTATTTCACCATCATAGTTTATTACAGAACCCGTTGCAAGGTAAGGCCCCCCCCCGTGAAATGTGTGTGTTAGTTTATAAAACCATGAATACGATACTAAGGCAATCTTAGATGGGTAGAAACTAATCCTCTATAGTCTTTTGGTATCAATAGGATTATCTACTAGCCAGCATAAAAACTAGTTTTTTGCAGGGTATCTAAGATTGGCACTGGATATATATACATATATATAATTGTAGTGTGATTTCATCCCCCATAAACTTTACTCAACCAAGTTATGTGCGTTAATTTAGCTAGCGAAAACCGGTGTCTCACCTCTCTCACCTTGTACTTAGGGCTGCATCCAAGCTACTAAGCAACCCCAAAATAGATGGAACAGTTAAAAACCTGGACGTATGAGTTAAATATCATCTATACCATCCTGGAGACACAGTTCTATCTGTTTGGGGACTACTATAAGTAGGGTAATAACCATACTACAATACCTCACACTACACATATAATATGATGTAATATTACTTACATATGTAATCATATGTATATATATATACATACACATATATTGTTTTGTTTGAAAAATCCCCACTTATACATGGGTTAGAACCTCGTTGCCAAGTAGGGTGTCGCACTACCCAGTGTATTGGGGATTGTTTTTAGGGATACTACCCGAATTTCATGGGATGACATTTCGGGTTGTGAACACTGCTCAAATCTGTGTCAACCAACATAAAACCTCTAAGTTTCTCCCTGAAACACGGTGAAAAATCAACAAAAAGTCGGCCAATTCTAGGTCAATCTTCGATCGATACTTTAATCCTTTAGTCTTTTGGTATCAGTGGGAATATCATGGAATATCTACGTTCACCAGCAAAGAAGTTGTCATTTTTTGCAGGGTATCTGGCAGATTGGCAATGAATTTGGCAATGAATTTGGTTCAATGATTGGCAGATTGGCAAACCTATAGATTCCAACCATTTTTTTTGGCCTTGGCGCACCATGACGACTGGGAGTTCCCACCCTTACGGGTCGTCGAGACCCGTCTGCAGGTGGAGCACCGCAGGAGGGCTGGAAATGTTGGACACAGTCGAAGCGACAGGTCTACTGCACTGAACCCTGACCGCCGAAAACCGCCGAAAACCGAGCGAAAATGATCAGAGATGTCTTTTTCCAGGCACATTAACTGTCATTATTATAATGAGTATCTAATATGTGTTTTCTTTGTTTTTCTTGCTGATATGTTATGTGGACTTTTTAGTGAGTTTGATTTTCAATGAGGATTTAATGATGATTGAATGGGAATTTCATGGGATATGACCATAGGAATGTCCTTTTCCCAATACTGCTAAATTTTGTGGCCAATATAAAATGGAATCAGTGGGCATATTAGATGATGTAATGTGGATAGGTGGGAGATGTGACCAAAGTGATGGAATTTCTAGGGACTGAAACAGGTTAGTATATCCCCATGTTGTGGAGAACATGGTGATTCACCCGGATTTCACCGGCGAAATGATGGTAAGCAATGCCCAGCCTAAACAGACATATGTCTTTCCGAAGAGGATCTGATCAGTGGTAGTGGCAGAGGAAGATCATCCCAACAGGCGAGGCTGCAAAAAGGCGGGCGGAGCGACTGAGCGGCGATCTGCAGGGACTGGAGAGTTGTGGGGTGACTTTCCAAAAAGAATTGCCATCCATTGCCATCCAGTCACAGGGCTTGGTAACTGTCCCATTTTGGGTGTATTGGACATCACCTTATAGTAGCTGTTCCACCTGGGATGATGGGAAATGATCATAAATCATCTATAAATCTGGGCAAATTATAACGACCTCACTGATCTCCCTCACTGGAATCATGGTTAGTAAGGGAAATCATCCCCAAATGGCCGCAAGATTCAGGTTAGTGAATTATTATAATTTGCCCAGATCCATTGCCATCCAGTCATCACAAAAATCGCAACAAAAATCCCCAACTGTTCCCAATCGACTCTGTGAAGGTGCCTCGCGAACGAGCCATGCGACGGGAGCCAGGCGGAGAGATTTCGCGACGAAACTCCTGGTGGTTGCTATTCCAATGGTGTTTTAAGAGGAATTCATGGGATTTTATATAGGGTTTCAGAGATTTTATGGTTAGTAATATATGGCGTCTATAGAAATGGTGGAACAATGGGTGATAATATGGCTATATAGCGCTTTATATGAGTATATATATATATTTATTTATATATATGGGTATACAACTATAGATATTAAAGATACATGTGGTCCTGGTGATATATACATACATCATTGTGTTATGTCATGGTCAAAACAACGGGATGGTAATCTCCCCACTGGGGCTCGTATATCCATTGTGTCCATTCCCCAATCCCCTGGACCGGCCATGGTACGTTTCCGGTACCGTTTCCTGTGGGCCTAAGGCTTGACACTCAAAATCCCTCTAGATGTTTTTGAGTTTCACAAGGTCTTGGGGTTGAAACCCAATTTATATCCTAAAAATTCAAAAACCCCAAGACCTTGTGAAATTGAACACTAGAAATGATAAAAACTGGTGGGATTGCGGATGAATTCCAAAATAGCCCAGGTTTTTTTTCGATGACCAGAGTACTGGGTGGCAACAAATCTGGGGATGGATAAATTCCTAGCAGTTTCCAGAAGAATTAGAGGGATGAACATCCCATCGGTCCATTCGCCATCGGTATTTTGGTGTTCACTTAGGTACCGGGCGACCCAGAGAGCCAAATCAACCCGAGATCGCTGGCGGTATACGATGACCAATATTACATGGGGTTCACAGATAGGAAGGGACATTGCAATGTCAGATGTTATGGGGATGCACCCACCGAATGTTTTGCTGCCATGGCTATACCCATGAAAATCATATCTCAACCGCACCCTTCTTCGTGGCAAGCCACGACAGGCCGCAAGAAGCACCAGCGAAATGCTTGGGGGTTGCTGGACGCTTGATATAGCAAGGCACGTGTGCACCCCAATAATGGCCAACAACCATCTACAAGGTCAGGCCCCAAAAAAAGCGGAGTTGACGCAGATAACTTGGTTAACGTTTGGGTTGATTAGGGGGATATAAGATGACATAACATACCCCCTGGCCTTGGTGGCGTATGGGACTATGCCCGCGACGGCATTAACCATCCATGATTCGGTGCAGCCATTTGCAGAAGCCCTAGACACGATCAGGCTCGTGGTGGCGGGGTTCTACTTCGTTTACGAAGTGCTCGTCATCTCCTTCGAGCTTTACAACGCCCAAGTTGCCATTCTCAGCAATGACTTTGCGGCAGCTGAGCTGGCGGGGACCATGTACTCCGTCTTTATCGTCGGTCAGTACTTGACCTTGGGGATCGTGCTCACAGACATTCTCTTCTGCACTTTTGCTGGTCGCCTCCAGCAGTGGTACGCTCACGTGTTTGGCGGGATCACTGAGCGTGTGCTTTGGTAAACAAAGAGTTTGCTATTGAAAATGGCCCAGTCGAAATAGTTGATTTACCCATTAATAGCATTTTGATTGTCCATCGTTTTTTGTATGTTTACCAGAGGGTCGATGTAATATGATGTAATATGATATAATGTGTTTATATAAATTATAAGCCAACTTGGCCTCACCTTGTAAGAATAGGACCATCTGGATGTCCGCTGGCCCATTTAGATGGCCTTAGCCCCATCCCCCATTCATATTAAACATCCCCAGAATGGTTCCAAAGGAGTGGGTATTCTCTACTAAGCACTAAACTCCATGGTTTCTAAAGGGTGTCAAATATGAATAGGGGAATGGATTATAATGGATTATCTATGTGCACGTGTATGTATATATATAATTATATATATATATATTGCATGAGTTACTAATAACTTACAAGCTTGGGGTGTATTTGCAAGCGGTCTGGATTGGGTGTTACGGCTGGAAAAACTGAGATGATAGAATCAATCAGTAGAGATTGGGAATACCGCCAAGAAGTGACAGCTGATAAATGTTCACCCGATCAGAAATTGGGTTTCGAATGGGAACCAGTTTTTTTTTCGAATGGGAACCAGTCTTTTAGTATCAACCAGTGGAAATCCTCCACAGAAGATGTTGGGAACTCTGCTCGCAAGTTAGTTGCGGCTCGACCTTCCCAGTGTCTGCAGACATGGGGACAGAGCTTTCTAAGGTGATTCAAACATACCTCTGCAACCTACCCCAAGTCCCTCCAAACCCTCAAATGAAAGGATTCATGTCCTTTAGGCCCTATTTAAATAGCATGGCGTGGGGTATGTTCCAGTGGTTTGCTCTATGTATTTGCGAAACATATCGAAACGTTCCACGTCGCAAGAGATCTGGGAGGTCAACTGAAGCATTGGGGTTTTCACCTATCACCAAGTCATATTGTGGCTGTAGATGATAGGTCGCCATCGCCATTCCAATTTCGGAATAGTCCCATTTATGTATTTTCATTTTGTTGATTTGTACAATATATATATATAATATGTACTGTACAATATATCATATCTAATATTAAAAAATATTAAATAATATACATAATATCATATACATTGTATATATTATAATTTAATAGATATATATATATATATATACTCATTCTGTTCCAACTTTAACCATATGGAACTTTCCTTCAACATTCTCACTCCATGGATGTCGAGCTGAGGATGTGGGCATTGACTCCATGGGGAGCCTCCAGTACCAGGCCAGGCCCGGAGTCCAGGCCGGCGGCAACGGTGCTGGCCGATAGGTCAAAGATCTCAGAGGAATCAGATGGAAATAGTGGATTTACCTATTAAAAATGGTGATTTAGTGGGATTTAATGGGATTTATTAGGATATATGATGGTATACCATCTGGTAATGACTGTTACATAGCTATTGAACATGGCCATAGAAATAGTTGATTTACCCAATGAAACATGGTGATTTTCCATAGTTACGTTAGTTTACCAGAGGGCTAGATTTTTTGAGACACGGATTTTTGCTGTTCATGATTTTGATGGTGAAGTTTTTTGCTTTGTTTGTTTACCGGATATCTCATTTGGGCGGGAGCCAAAAGAGGGTCTGATCAACCAAAGAAAGGTTTGCATGAATGCCCCCTTGAATTCTACACCCATATATTGCATTCCTACTCATTACTGTTTTGGATGACTCAAATAATTCATTCCTACTCATTCCTACTCATTCCTACTCATTCCTACACCCATATAATGACTCAAATGTTTCATTACTGTTTTGGATTGCCATTTTGGGTGTCCCGCAGATGGCCACTGCTCCGACTAATTTCTAGAAGGAGTGTTTTCAAGCCATCAAACTGGTAGATCCTACTAACAAGAACAGCAAGAACCATGGGATCCATACGTTAGATGGGTACTTTAATCCTAACTAGTCTTTGGTATTAATGGGAATACCTACGTTCACCAGCAAAGAATTTATTTTTTTGCAGGGTATCTAAGATTGGCAATGAAGAATGTTCATTGCCAAGATGAATGGCTACTGAGATTCATCCAGTGGTTTTGCTCGTAGTAGCGGCCTTGCCTCAGCTGCCTCCTGCGCCAAACTCTGAAGGGATCACAGTCACATGCTGGAAATAATGCGCCATTTGATCGAATTGTATCTTTATATTATGCATATGTATATATATATATATATACTGGTTGGTGGTTTCAAACATGAATTTTGTTTTCCATTTCATATATGGGATGTCATCCTTCCCATTGACGATCTCATATTTTTCAATATGGTTATTGCCCCACCAACCAGATATGGGTTTGAGGTTTGATTAAAGATATTTACTAAGATTCGACCCCACATGAAGAAAACATCACAAGATGTTTGATTAAGCCCATATTCTGACATATTGTTGAATCACCCCATCAGTAGGTGTTTCTAATACTAACCAAAGCTCACATGCAAATCCGTATCTATATACATGTGGCCCCCCCCAGTTATGTTTGATGGTTTATAAACCCCATGAACTATAGTTATTTGCGTATCATAAACCATAGTTATTGGAATTATAAACCAACTTAGCTATCGTTTGGGGGCCCCACATTGTATACATGTGTACATATTATATATATATGATATTATATATATATATATGTATCTATATCACCCACT